CGTGCCGATGGGCTTCCAGAATGTTTTACACCACGGACCGCACTGGACGTATGCAGTATGTGGATTTTACTGGCGACGAATAGCATCTTTCCTAAAACACGGACAGGACCTTAGTCCAATGACTCCTTATTTTGACTTCATGAGTCCAGTAACTGGCCAGGCCATGTTAATTCTAAGCCTCCTTGTCCGGATCACGAAGCTCAGCAGTCATTGTCAGATACTCCTCATTCGCTTGGTGGTGTTCTTCGATTCTATTTACTCTCGTCTGATCGATTACTTTGCTTCCACCCAGGCGAGGATCCGTAAGTCCTGGTTGAAGCGTTATTGTGTCTATGGATTAATCCTGCCACTCCTGGCAATGAGGCTTACCACAAGCATCTATACCGACTTGGTAACATCCTCCTTATTTGAGGTATGTAGCCATACTCCAATTTTTTCCCTTCTTTCCTTTATGTATGGCAGCAACTAAGTATTACAGATTTCTTGCCTTGCTATATCGACAGTTTGGATACCTATCACTTTCTACTGTTTACACTACTATGCGTATACTGTCGCAGGACTGGGCAATGTCGATCTACAATGGAGCTATGGTCAAGTGATATCCTTGTTTCTCCTCACTGTCCCTCTATTTGCTTCAATAGCGAAAATTCTCTCCGGCTTACAGACCTCAACGGACTCGAACACCACGCCATCAGACCCAGGACGGAGCAATGAGACACCGCAAGAGCCACCTGAGTCCAGCCGAGCAGCGATGCCCGATGCCTCTGACGATTCAGCGCAGTTATTACGGCTTGCCATGAACACCAATCCGATCCAACCAACACGACTTTTTATACAGAGATTTTTCTGCATCTTGCAGCTTTTGTCTGCATGGCTTAGAGTGCAATGTTTCCAGCTGCAAACAAGGGGTGTAGATTTCTTGTATGGGGAGGTCTATCACAATGGACTCACGGCCCTAGTAAATCCCTTTGGTTCCATATACTTCATGGTCTTACTTGGTCTCAGCCTCGAGAACGTCGGGCTTAAGAACTCCCGTCGAAGAGAAGGACGAAACTGGCTGTCTATGCACTGGTTTGCGAGCTCGATTATATACACTTTCTACTATTTATCCCCAGTCTGGTATGGATTCTTTCGGTCATTCTCGAATCCCAAAATTGTTGTACAAGGATTGTGGCATAGACTCGCCATCTCTTACCTCTATTCCCAATACTGGACTGGGCCTGTCCACCAGTTTGTCAATAGCTTAATCCTCACGGTAATCGTTTTCGCCGTCTTTCAGGTTGCCTTTGTCGTGGCTAGCGTCAAGACGGCCAGGGTGGATGAGGAGAGGCGAGAGTTGCAACTTGAGAATATGAATAGTGAAAGTGGCTAGCGTTGGGTGGGCATGGAAGGAGATGCCAGATACAGGTGGAGGATATCATACTCATCAAGGAGACATGAGAAGAGAGACCATATATCCACACGTACGTATAGAGGTAGTGTAGTACTAGTCTGCGCGGTAGAAAGCAAAGACGTTCCCGGAAGTAGCAGTAGACGGCCGAAAGTCATTGAGTTCTCTTCTGATGGTGATGATTATGATGATGATGATGAGGCGAGTAACAGCCCCAATGAGCTGGTTCTAGGCGACGAGTCCATTGATAATACGCTTGGGAGCGGAAACGCCGCAAGTAGGTAACGAATTCGGTGCCGTACTGTAGATGTTGACACGGAATATTCGCAGTCGGGCTATAAAAACGCTGCTGCGAACAATTGTAACCTTACAACCAAGATTCCCCATTGAATGTGATCCAAATCATACATTTTTATTAGAGGAAATCAGGGCAAATGATATGATTTTGTAAAGGGTGGTACCAAAGAACAGTAGATGAATTGAGGGTAACTAGACGTGTGAGGGAATCACCGGCGTTGGCCCCGGGGGGATATCGCGGTCGCAACTGGCCAGCCGGCACCCTTAATACTCGAATACATTGGCAATTACCAGTCGTGTAGAGTCTAAATTGTATTCGTTTTAAAAGCCCCAATTAAGCGAAAGGGAATATCCAAATGGGTTTGTTTTAAATAGTTTAATGGCCGTGGGGATTAGAGCTGAAAGAATCAAGCCGCGGACGGGGCGGGGGGCGCCAGCTAAAACGCCTGGAATACAGCAGGTCGAAGGGGGTTTAGTCCTCTTACAGCCGTCATCTCTCGCCTTTCCGTCATAACCTCACGCGCGTCGTTTGGGCGAGATGGCTTCCGAAGACCAGCCCTCGCACATCTCAGCTCTTTCCACCGAGCTGCTGCTAAACATCTTCGAGTGCGATCTGCCCCCCTCGATCCTGGTCCGCTGCATGCAGTGCTGCAGGCGATGGACGGACCTGGTCTCGCCGATGCTGTACCGGCACCTGGTGCTGACCAGCAGCAGCGCCGCGCGGTGGGCGGCGTGCGCGTCGAGCGCCAACGACGCGCTGGTCGAGGCGCTGACGCTGCGCATGACCCGCGTGCTGCACGTGCAGGGCGCGTACCGGTCGCGCGGCGCGCAGGAGCTCGTGCGCCGCATCACCGACGCCGTCGACGTGCTGTGCGCGCGGCTGCCCGCCATGGCGCGCCTCGCCAGCTTCTCGCTCTATGCCCCCGCCGACCAGACCCCCGGCCTCGGCATCCGCCCCGCCTCCGTCCTCGCCCTGCTCGACGCCCTGCCGCCGTCCTGCGTCTGCCTCGAGCTCAGCGTCCGCAAGTGCGCCCGTGGCGCGCCCGCCCACCTGTGCCCCGCCATCCGCCGCGCCCTGGCCCGCCTGCGCTTCCTGCGCTTGCACCTCCCGCGCCTGTGCCCCGACGCGTTCGGGTCTGGCTTCGACGCCGCGCGGGCGCCGACCGAGGCGTCGGCGGCGTGGGAGCCGGTGCCGGCGCCCCGCCTCGAGCAGTGCGTGCTCGTCGTCGCGGACCTCAAGCCGCCCGCCTTCGTGTGGCCCACGGGGCTCTGCCGGTCCCGAAGGCCTGCGCGTGACGTCCTGGCCCGCCACGCGCAGGCCCTCGGGACGCCGCGCAACGCGCCCGCGCTGCGCAAGCTGTGGATCGTCGACGCGCTGCCGCAGTCCGGGGATCACCTCTGGTTCCGCACCGTGCTGCGCCGCGACCTGCTCGCCGACGCTAGCGTGGCGATCCCGTACGAGAGGCTGCGGGACGGCCTATTCGTTCGCATGCCGGCGGGGGAGGGGGTTGGCGGCAGCTGCGATGTTGTGTCGACGCTGGAAGACGTCAAGGACCTGATAGAAGGGTCGGCCTGGATCGGGACTCCGGGTAAGAGTAGGCTTCCCCCTCCGTACGCGCCCAAGAGAGGTCTTACGCTCGCTCTGCCTGAATGGTACGACAAGACGGGAATATGGCCTCACCTGCTGTCGTACGAGCGAAGGACGGGGACGCGCATGTTGGAGGTTACCGAGGCAGAGTTGCTCACAGTTCACTCCCCGACGTTTCATATGCCCGAGGGCTGGGGATTCAACGACTTGGGCTACATCGTGAGGTCCGAACCAGCACTGACAGCAGATCCATAACGTGTAGCATGTGGTTAAATTTATTAGAAGTATTACATGTAAGTGACGCGAGTCTGTGAAGTAGAGGTAAAAAAAGGTTGGGTACGATAGACATTCCGAAATGTTTTGCGCCCTGGCCGTCTCGCAAAATAGATATCTAGCACAGTTCATTGTTGTAGATGTAACCAACAACGAAATACCCCAGGGAGACTATGGAAAATCTAGATATCTAGAAGGGATAATAAGACGCGTCGAATTTTGATTTCTTCCGCCGTCCGACATGACGAGACACATCACAGTGTATATGACTAGGCCTATTTTCCTTTGGCACTCACACCGCCTGCAGGGCGTTCGGTATTATAATGCTCACCGGCCCCCCCACCATCCCGAGTGATTCAGATCCCCTCACCTCTCCTAAACACATCAGACGATGCACTCTCTCCAATACAGCGGGTCTACCTCAGAGGTCCTTGACCTCGGCGACGGTGTCGTCGTCAAGCAGCCCAGGAAGGTCTGGGAAGGGAACGCGAAACGCAAGACCTTGGAAGAGGAATACGCGCGTGCCCTGGATATCGAGCGGAAAATCATCGAGTGGCTGGGAAGCTATCCAAGAATCGTTCCGTCTGTCACCCTTCCTGTGAAACTGCCTGTCTGACTTCCAGCTTAGGTGCCTGGCAGCTAAATCCCGGTAATAGATATCTCGGGCCGCACGAACCGTCGGGCATCCGGCTCGCCAGAGCGAACCACGGCAACCTGCAGGAATACATCGACCGGCACGACCACGAGATCGGCACGCCCCAGCGCTGGACGTGGGTTCTTCAGGCCGCCGAATCCGTCGGGTTTTTGCACTGCAAGGCCGTGATTCACTCTGATCTGCGACCCGAGAATTGGCTGGTAAACTCGCAATGGCAACTCTGGCTCTACGACTTTGGCGGCTCGACATGCGAGAAGCTCGGCCTAGATGGCGGCCACCTACCTGACGATCCATTCTTCGACCCTCGGCTGCCCGATGAGTCGACGCCGGCCGTCGATATCTTCAGTCTAGGATCCACATTCTACACCATTATGACAGGGCACTGGCCCTTCCTGACCGGACCGCCTCCGACGAATATGGAGAAGTTCGAATTTATGGAAAAGGCGAGCGCGCTGTTCGCAGCGGGGCAGTTTCCAGATGTATCTGATATACCGGCGGGCATCGTGATCCGAGGGTGTTGGGATCACACGTATGACACGGCTGCGGAAGTGGTGAGGGCCGTCAAGGACGAAATGGAAATTGTAAACACGTAAAATACCTTCGAGCTACTATGTAGATGGTTAAGGACACTCTGAATACGGTTCTCCTTGAAGCTGCTTATCGTGGCTCATCACACGGGTCCGACAAGGCATTCTCGTTAGACGCGTGTAGCATAAAGAGGGTTCACATATTGGTTCCATTAAACGATCAAGTCAAAAGCAAAGTATAACAATTATAAAAAGGCGAAAAAAGAAATTTGACAAGAGCGCGATTCGAACGCGCGCGGGTTGCCCCAGTAGAATACGCCACTATTTACTAGTGTAAGAACAAGTCTTGAGTCTACCGCCTTAACCGCTCGGCCATCTTGCCTTGTGGATGTAACACCATGCTAACCTATTTGCTTGGTAGGGTATAAGATCCAGGCTGCCTAGTGGCTCAGGATGATCTTCGGGTAAAATGCTTACCGTCTTTGTTGCTCGAATCGTATATTAGGTAATCACACATGTTCTTGGCGTATTGATGCGTGCCGTCGGCCGTGGGATCCCTGCCCGCAGCACTGAAACAGGTCTCATCTCGGTCCAGTGAATGAGGGCCTGGCCATCGACCGGTCGATTCTATCTAGGTACAATCTTGCATAGCCGCGTGGCATCTGGTCAGCACGAACGCGCCAGATTCTCGGGGTGAAGCGACCAATAGACGACTACACAGCAATCGGCCATCTCGGCGTACTAGGTAGCCCATCTGTCTGCATGCATCCTTATGGCTCACCTTGATCTAGCGCCGGGCTTCAATGCCCGCATCATCCTCTGGCGAGCTGGCTGGCTGGCTCCGGTTCAAAAGGTCTTGCATCAGTAGTTCTGTCTTACACATGAAGCACATCTGCATTATTGTCTTGCAGTATGCCATCCAAGGGAGCCCCGGTACGAACACCGTGAATCAAGGGTTTGAGTCACCTAGATCTGAAAAGCATATGATTGAAGGTGTGGCCTTGCCTCAAGTCATCATCAGATCGACCCCGAGGAGATCTATCAACTTGTTGTGGCTTGGCACCACCCGGTAAGCCGGGTAGGAGTTCGGACATCCGACGCCATGTACCCCCATTCAACAACAGCGCCATATATTCCGTCGTGCTACAGCGCGATAAGACAGCTGTGTCGGGTCTCGGACTTCGTGCTACCAGTTTGGCGTGCTGCCCAGAAAAATCTGCATCTGTGGTTTAACATCCAGACCCCTACAGATGGTGACCGTCGCGACTTTATGCCCCGACAGGTTAGTCCGCAGAATTGCTACCTCGTCGGCCCAGAGTCATGGCAGACTTGGTGTGCAACCAGGACGTGCCTAGTATATAGCCGCCCCAACTCTTTAGGTGCCGGGTGTTGATCCTTACGGATAGGGAGGTCCGGCACAGATATGAGTTTGGGGCCGAAGAGGGGATAAGATGGCCAGGGCTCGCTCTGCCCACGCAGCAACATGTCTGACCTCCTGTGCGAGTGAATGTGTGTCCGTCAACATATACTGAGTCAACTAGAATTCGTGTGTCCGTCTACGTATCTGACCAGCTACACGCAGCAAGCTCAGTCGACGAAGAAGGCAAAATGAACACGCAAGACATCATCCCCGGCACCGACGTCGTCTTCGCGGGTCGCGGAGGAGGCGGGGCGGGGAGCGTAGCCAGCGACGATGTCGTGCTGATTCCGCAGCCGACGTCTAACCTAGACGATCCGTTGGTAAGTAAATGACACATCCGAGGCCACGACGGCTAGGTGCGTAGGCTAAACAGGGTCGCGTCGGAGGGCAGAACTGGAGCCGGACGTGGAAGTCGATCGTGATCGCGAACCAGGCCGTCTTCGTCTTCATCAGCATCATGACGCCGCTGGCCATCTCGCCGCTGTCGCTCATCTTCGAGGCCGAGTTCGGCCGCTCCCTGACCGAGGTCAACATGCTCTTCGGCGCCGCCGCCATCACCCTCGGCTACGCCAACTTCGTCATCGTCCCCGCCGCCAACTTCTTCGGCCGCCGCCCCGTCATCCTCGTCTGCTCCGTCATCTGCATCCTCGCCGACATCTGGCAGGCCCTCGTCACCAGCTACCCCAGCTTCCTCGCCGCTAGGGTAATATCCGGTCTCGGCGCCGCCGCGAACGAGGTCATCATGCCCATGGTTGTCGCCGACCTGCTCTTCCTGCATCAGAGGGGGAGTAGTACGGCCCTGTACTTGTGAGTCTTGTTGATCTCCGTGTTTGAAAAGAAAAGAAAAAAATTGCTCGCGATGTGCTCATCAGAATGTGAAGCTGGTCTTATTTTCTTGGTCTCTTCCTTGGCCCCATCATCTCGGGCGCCATCGGCTCGCAGATCTCGTGGCGGTGGTTTGTAAGTACTCAATAACTGAGCATCCGGACCACGCCCAGCTATCCTAGATCGGTTAAAGCTGACTCCTAATCCATAGTTCTGGGTCTGCACCATTCTGCAAGGAGTGAGTATTTCCTATTCCCAGTTCTACAGCTCCTTTTCCTGAGAAAAAGCACTAACACGGCAAAGGCGAGCTTCACCTTCCTCCTTATCGCCCACCCCGAGACCAAATACGACCGTTCGGCGCACGTCGCGGCCCCAAGCGGGACCCCGGCCGTCGTAGAGCCCCGGACCTCGGCGCCGGTGCCCGACGAAGAGAAGGCAGCCGGCGGAGTCGTCTCGAGCGCAAGCCTGAAGTCCGAGACGCGCGCGGACGCGGGCGCGCAGCCGCCTCCGCCGCCGCCGGCCATGTTGACGGCCGCCAAGCACGTCGCCAACGGGCGCCCGTCGCTGTGGCAGTTCTCTCTGCTGCCGGCGCGGCAGCGCCTGCGGAGCACGAGCGACGCCGGCTGCGGCGCGGCGGCGCTGCTGCTGCGGGACGTGGTGTCGCCGCTGCGGATCCTGACGTGCTACCCGATCGTGCTGTGGGCGTCGCTGGCCATGGGCTTCGCCGCCAACTCGCTGCTGTGCCTCAACCTGACGCAGGCCCAGGTCTTCGGCGCCCCGCCCTACCGCTTCGGCGCCGATGAGATCGGGTACACCAACTTCGCGTTCGCGGTCGGCGCCGTCGTGGCGCTCGGCACCGCGGGCCCCCTTTCCGATCGTATCGCGTTGAGCCACGCGCGTAGAAACTCCGGCGTCCTCGAGGCCGAGATGCGTCTCCCCGCCCTCATCCCCTATATTGCCGTCAATATCGTCGGCATGGTCTTCGCCGCTGTGGGGTACCAGCGTGCCTGGCCCTGGGAGGTTATCGTCATCCTTGGTTACTCCCTCGTCGGGCTTCAGACCGTCGGCATCCCGGCCATCGCCATCGCGTACGCCGTCGATTCGGTAAGCTGCACACCCCCCTTTATTCCCCTTGGCCATGTTCTGGACCTCTTTGATGCCAAGTCTCGGGTCCGTAATCTGGCGCTGACCAAGCATGTGACGCAGTACAAGTCGCTCCCCGGCGAGATCATGGTCGCCGCCACCATCGTGAAGAACACGTTCGGAGTAAGTCCACCCTCCTTTATCCCATCCGTGTCCTATAATCCAGTATCTAATCGCCGGGGAACGCTAGTTCGGCATGATCTTCTTCTTCAACGACTGGGCCGCGCGGTCCGGCTTCATCGAGCCGGTCCTAACCATCATGGCGCTCACCTCGGGCTTCACCATCCTGGGTCTGGGCGTCTTCGGCTTCTGGGGCAAGCAGTTCCGCCGCTGGACCAAGGATTCCAAGCTGCACCTGTTGTGAGCGAGGGACTCTTGGCGCCAACTGGCATATCCATGACTATCATGCGTTCTCGGTGCGGTTTCTCGGATGTCTGTGTTTGCTGCTTATAGACAACCTGCTGTGATCCGTCGTTCTTCGGTGTAACGATTTAAACTGGGTATTTGGGAATAGAGGATGAGTTGCGCTGTAATGCTGGCCGTATTTGCAATGACCATTCTATAACGTTAAACTTCTGATGCATGTTAAAAGGCGTAAAAGTGTTATGCCAAATTGAAGGTTATATACAATAAGATATAAAAATATGTCCAGAAGAAGATTAGATATATACAATATTTACGAGAGTCCATATATATAAGGGATCGCCCTCTCGACAAGCAAATCCCGTCACTGTCCATGTGTCACGTCATGCGTGCATCATCCTCCCGTAATGGGTAAACCAACCACAATATATACGCTTCAAGTCCCCCCAAGAAGTAGGTGAGGGGTTTCATCCAAATAAGGAATGAAAGGGAACTGTGTCCTTTTCGCAAAATCAGACGCCCGAAACAGACCGCCCGCTAATCGTCAGCTCGGCGCTGTACAGCTCGCGGCTGGCGCCGCCTTGTCCGGGGTTGAGGCGGCCGTGAAACACCACGTTCTGGCCGTTGGGGTCGATGTCGAGGCCGCCGGGCCCGTAGACGCCCTTGTTATCAACGGAGCGGATGAGGATGCCGCGGTTGGTGTAGGAGCCGTCGATGGTGCTGGAGAAGGCGTACTCGACGTCGTAGTCGTCGCTCGAGTAGCAGTGCGCGCTGTAGAAGAGCACGAAGTCGCCGCCGGGCACCCGGTACAGCGCCGGCGCCTCGACCACGCCGTCGTTGGACGCGCCCTCGTTGTCGAGGATCGTCTTGGGCGCGTCCAGCAGCGTCAGCGCGTCGCGCGCCATCCGCTGGATCTTGATGGGCGTTGACCGGTACGCGCCCGACGGCGTGCCCCCTTGGCAGGTTGTCGCCCCCCCCAGGCTGTTGCCGTCCACCTTCCATACGATCCACCGGTCCGTGCCGTCGTCGTACCCCGACGCGTCGATCACGCCGCCGTTGCCGCCGTCGCAGATCAGCGGCTGCGACTGCGGCGCGAACGGGCCCAGCGCCGAGCTCGACGTCGCCGCCCCGATGCAGTGGCTCCCGCCGTTCTGGTGCGCCGTGTAGTACATAACGTACACGCCGTCGTCCTGTTTTAGGGGGTGCGTGTCAGCATATCGAGGCAATCTCATGTAAAGGCAGGACTAGGAGGTATATATATATATAGAGCGCATATATTGGGGCTGCATACGTTCTTCTGCACGTCCGGGGCCCAGATACCCTGGTCGTTGGGGTCGACCCAGGAGCCCGGGTCCGGCAATGCGTCGTTGCCGGTGAGGGACCAGGACCAGGTGTCGGCCGAGGTGGCGACGGGGATCTTGACGCCGTTGGACGAGGTGGCGTAGGCCTTCCACGACCCGTCGCCCCATATTATGCTTGGGTCGGGGAAATCCACACCCATAAACGGACCCGCCAGCCGACGACCCTGAAGGCCGCCGGCCATGTCGATCTTGGTGACATTGCTCAGACTAAGGGACGGGGCCCGCTCGGCAGCCTGCCGGCTAGAGGGAAGTCCTGCCGCGAGGCTGGCG